CACCCCCTCGATACCCAGCAGAAACTATTTTGCCCTTATCTCTAATTTTGTTGAAGAGAGAGTATAAGCAATAATAGGAAGGAACAAGGGTTTTTGTGCAAAGCCTTTTTTTAAAAAGCTTGTCATTCTCTCTTCCAGTCCCTAACATTCTGTTCATATTTTTATTCTGCTGTACTTCTGTTGTGTTGTCAATTTATGTTTGTTATTTATAATGTATTATAATTATCTTTTTGTCTCTCTCACCACTTATGAACTCCTTGATGCCAAGGAGTATCCCAGTATTTTTACACTCTAATTCCTGGCTCAGAGTATGACCTGCTGCAGGCAAGCAAGGATCTACCAATTACTCTCCATCTCTATAACCTACCACATGGCCCGCAGGCCAGCAGCACTGGCACTGTACAGGAAGACTGATGCAAGAAGCTCAGGCTCCATCCTAGATCTGCACCCTCATAAGAGCCCAGATACTCCCTAGCGCACTGAAGTTTGAGAAGCTCTATTCGAAATGTTCCGCTCTGTGAATCCCTGGCTTAACCTACACAGTATGATGGTTTAGCTTATCTATCCCTGACACTCTCAGACTACAGGCCACTTGAGAGCAGGGATCACGCACATGGAGAAACAACCTGAGAAAAGAAGCAAAGCACAAAGCCTGACGTTGGTATAGATGCTTTTCTAACAAGATAAGAAGATAAGTAACTACAGCATAAGAGCAATGTCTCTCTTCATGACTGAATCTCACCAAGTTACAAGTTACTGGCGTTTCATAAAACATTAAAACATTAATACAAAAAACAGTGAGCCAGCTGTCTAGTCATACCCAGTCCACACTCACTGAGCCATTTTATTTAGCTACGTATTATAGTATACAATCTTTTATCTTTTTTTTTAAACTAGTTACCATCACCTCTATAATACTTTATACTGACAGAGGAAATGAAGGGAAATACAGAGAGAATAAAGCAGGGAAGGACACATGACCCACGACCATGTGCTCACTGTATTTGGCATTTTATACTCACATTTAAAAAAGGAACCTGGAAGGTCACAACACCCTTGTGGGATTTACTGATGCACCCCCTTCCCAGCAGGTAACTTACACCCTCTTAAGGCATTTGCTTTGCCTTCTGTGCTTACCTGTGGTATGTAACCCGACTCCAACATGAGGAGGTGTACCAACACAATCAAGGCATCACTGGCACTGCAACAGTCTGCTGACTGATACAAGGTCTCTAATGAATGTGGCACTTGTCCTTCCACCGCTTCACTGCAGAGCATTGGTTCTGAAGGACAGAAGCCTGACCTGTCTTCCATATCCACAGCATCTTGCATTGACTCAGCTTCAAAACTGTGACTAGGCCCTGACTGAAAATAACAACAACAACAAATCCATTAAAAATACTTGTCTGTACATAGCACATTTTCTATCCTAAAATGAACTGAGATTAGTGCTCAAAGCCAAAGCACATGATTGGGTTCAGAAACAGGAAACATTTTAAAGGAGCACTCATAAACAAATGAGCCTGCAACCTACTCCTCCATCTTCAATCCTATACCTCCATTAATAAACAAATGGGGCTATCAAACTAAAAAGCTTCTGCACAGCAAAAAAAAAATAGTCACTAAACTTAAGAGACTGCCCACAGAATGGAAGAAAATCTTTGCCAGCTATTCATTCAATAAGGGAATAATATCCAGAATCTATAAGGAACTCAAAAAATCTCAATCCCCAAAGAATCAACATTCCAATGAAGAAATGGACACATGAACTGAATAGGGAATTTTCAAAGGTAGAGGTAAAAATGACCAAAAAATACTTGAAGATGTGCTCAACTCTGCTGGCCATTAAAGAAATGCAAATCAGGCTGGGGCCAGTAGTTCATGTCTGTAATCCTAGCTACTCAGGAGGCAGACAATCCAAGAGGATGAAGGTTTGAAGCCAGACTGGGCAAATAATTCTCAAGACCCTATCTCAAAGAAACCCATCACAAAAAGGGCTGGTGGAGTGGCTCAAGGTATAGGCCTTAAGTTCAAACCCCAGTACAGCAAAAGAAAAAAGAAATGCAAATCAAAACTACATTAAGATTTCATCCCACTCCAGTTAGAATGGCCATCTTCAAGAGGAAAAACAACAGTGAGGACACAATGAAACAGGAGCCCTTATACACTGCTGGTAGGAATGGAAACTAGCACAACCATTATGAAAAGCAGTAAGAACATTCCTTAAAAAGCTAAAAATAGAATTGCCATATGATCCAGTGATATTACTCCTGGGCATATATCCAAAGGAACTTAAGTCAGGATACAACAGAGACACTTGCACACTGATGTTTATCACAGCATTGTTCACAATAGCCAAGCTATGGGAACCCAGATGCTCTGCAACTAATGAATGGATCAAGAAAATGTGATATATATAAATTTTATTCAGCCATAAAGAATGATGTTTTGTCATTTGCAGGTAAATGGATGGAACCAGAGAATATCATAAATATATACAATGGAGTTTTATTCAGTTATAAAGAAAAATGACACCATATGGTTTGAAGGGAAATGGATGCAATTGGAAGACATCATGTTAAGTGAAGTAAACCAGGCTTGGAAAGACAAAGACCACATGTTTTCTCTCGTATGTGGAAGATAGATCCAAAAGATAAACATATACACAAAAACAAACATGATCAAATACACATTTATATGTAGAACATGTTTGTGATAGTGGAACTACACTATGGCACTCAGGGGAGGAAGGAAAGGAAAAGACAATGATACAGTGTCAACAATATCTAAAAACATAACATCTGTGTGGGCAGAGGATATAACAATATGTATTGAAAGCAAAGTATACTCATAGCGGGGATACATCAAGAAGCCCCTCTGAATACTGACTTAGGAATTAATAACAAGACAGGACTATAAAACAGGTACAGTGTGGGGGAGTGGGAGAATATCGATTGTTGATCCCAAGTTCATGTCCTGGTGTAGGAAATGATTGAAGGTGCTGCACCAGGAGTTAAGAGTAAAGTGAGCACAAAGTTTACTGAAAGGATAGCAAAGCACTCTGGTGGGTGGGGCTTAGTGAAAGAACTAAACTGTAGTATAGCTGAAGTCTAGAAATGATAAAGGGCTCTACCTGACTTAGGTCCAACTATTCTAACTTGAAACTGTATTTGAAATTGGGTGGCACCAAGTTAGCTTCTAGCTGAACTCAGTCACCTGACCATCCTTTTCCTTACTGAACTGAACATTACAAGAAGACCTAGCCAGCTCATCTTGGCCTTGGAAGTCTGCTCGACTCATCCAGGCTTTGGAGCCCACTACTCACACTGTGCAGCTGCATTTTGTTATTTTGGTAAGGGATTTGTTATTTCTCTGAGAAGCCTGTTGCTTCCCATGTCGCTTTAGATGTCTGCTTTAAAATGCCTCTCATCCAAAATGGGAGTCCCCTCTGTCACTGCACCCTTTACACTTGTGGGAGGAGGGAGGGTGAACAAAGGAGATGAAGGTAAGGGAATATGGCTAACAGATGACTTCATAGACTTTTATGGAAGAGAACAATGAAACCTCTCGCAATTGCTTTAAGTGGGGTGGGGAAGGGGTGAAGGGAGAGAGACAGTGGGGGTGATTTAACCAATGTACAATATAAGCCTATTCAGAATTGTCACAATGAATTCCCCCTGCACACCAAATATACCCAAATTTTTTTTAAAAGAACACAAACAACAACAAATTTTGGCAAGGATGTGGGGGAAAAGGAGCCCTTGTTTCTGTTGTTTAAAACATAAACTAGTATAAACACTATGGAAAACAGTATGGAGGCTCCTCAAAAACTAAAAACAGAACTACTACATGATACAGCAATACTATTCCTAGGGATATACCCTAGGGAATGTAAATCAATTTACACTAAAGACACCTGCACACTCATGTTTATTGTGGCATTATTCACAATAGCCAAGCTATGGAAACAGCCAAGATGCCCCACTACTGATGAATGGATTAAGAAAATGTAGTATTTACATACAATGGAATTTTATTCAGCCAAAGAAGAATGAAATTTTGTCATTTGCACGTAAATGGATGGAACTGGAGAATATCATCTTAACTGAAGTTAGACAGGTTCAGAAAGCCAAAAATCATGTTTTCACTCATATATAGAATATAGGCCCAATATAAATATAAGCAATATCATATATACATACAAATATACACACAGCATGTGGGACTGGTAGAGGTGACCAAACGAGGAAGAAAAGAAATAAAGAAATAATATTTGCTATTATTATTACAGCAAATAATAATAAAGTACATCACATTTGTATAGGAACAAAACACAACGAAATACACTGAAAACAAACAACACGGGATAAGGATAAAGGGCAAAGAAATGCAGCGAAGGGGAGCTTACACTGACTTAAGCACAATGCATGTACAGGTACAACACCAAGGCAAAAATCTCACTGAACAATGAACAGATACCTAAACAATGAAAGACAAGAATGAAAAACAGATCACGCTAAGGGGAGGGCACTAACAGGAGACGGCAAAGAGAAGGAAGTAAAGAAGGTGAATATAGTTGATGTACTTTCTCTGTAAGACTAAATACAGAATATTTAAATCTTTGGAAATCATCATAAGAGGGGGAATAAGGTAGAAAGAGAAAAATCAGGGGATGAACCAATATGGGACATAATTGGTGCATATATTCCATATATATATATATATATATATATATATATATACACATATACATATATATATATATATGTCATAATGAAACTCCCTGTATAGCTATCTT